TCCTTAATGGAGTTTTCTTACAGTTGGCTGAAAGAAATAGTTTTAAACTTCTTTTATTTTGTCCATATCTGTGTTGATTAAAATAAATCCCCCATGTCACACATCTGCTAACTAACCCAGGTGCAGTTGCATTTGCTTTGTGTGTAGTTGAATAAGTGGTAGGATTATAGCTTAACCATGATGTTTTCCAGGGAAAACAAGACAGATAAAACCTGGATTTTCAGTGTGAAGAAACAAGTAGGTAAATAAGTCCAGCCATTCTTTGCATGAAACAGCAACAAGAAAAATCAATCCCTGCCTCCCCCCACACCCAAATACACATGGCAAGTGTTTGACCTGTAATAGAAAAAAAAAAAAAGAGAAGACTGGGACAGGGAAGAGGATTCTCTGGGACTTACCCTTGTTGGGAAACGTTCCTGGTGAGCAAGGCATACATGCTGTTGTGTTCACTGCACTACAGTTTGTGGACTCTGTGCTGCTTGTAAATGGAGATGCTGATGGACCCCCAGTTGACATTACTCCTGTAGGAACCTGAACGGCAGTCGCATTTGCAGCAGGGGACGCTGTCACATTTACAGTGGCAGAAAAATCTTCAGCTGATGTTATACTTGGAGTAATAGATGGCTCCCCAGCTTTCGCCACAGGGTTGGAAATGGATGAAGGTGTTGCAACTGGATTTGGTAGGGTAGAGACCTGGGCAGTATTTGCTGTGGGAGAAGCCGGCAACCCACCAGCACTTGCTGATGCCGATGCTGAGGCCACAGAGACCTGGGCAGTGGTTGTCTGTCCAACAACAATACCTAAACAGAAAAAAAAAGTATTATTAGTGACTCGGTTAATATTTTCCATGTGGGAAATGGGGTTAAAGCTGCAATGATTTTGATCCCCTTCTGCTGTAGGAGTATGCAGATATAACTTACATACTTATATAGCTTATACTAGTATTATTCAGTACTGGTTTAACTGTTAAATCTCTTCACACCGTAGGTATTTTTCAGTAGTTATAGGATTATCAACGGTTGTCACATGTGGTTTGTTCTCTCTGCATCATCTGCCCAAGGGGAGAGTTCTGTAAGAATCGTGGTTTTGCTTTAGTAGGCATTTTTTCAGTTTGAAATACAGATACTGTTTGCGTTGCAGTCATAGCAGAAGATGATTAGGTTTGTGAGGGTCTTTAGTCCTTTTAGGCATTCATTCCTTAGCTCTGGTGCATCCAGTAGTACAACTAGGACGGGGCGAGTGGGGCACTGACTACGAGGAGGTGCCCAGAATCCCCCCTGCTCATGGGAAACCCTGAGCTGCCCCTGCTGCAGGAGCTGGGCACCACCACAGTGTCTCTGAGGGGTGGGCATGAGTGGGGCAAGCAGAATGGTGCTGCCCCCATACCGGGGAGCCTTTGGCAGAGCAGGCACAGCCCTGTTTCCAATAGGTATGTCTTGGAGAGGAAAGGGGAGTGAGCAGGGCACCAGAATCTGCTCCCAAGAAGCTCAGCTGTGGGCTACCACCAGAGCCGCTGCTGAGCAGCATCACAGGCAGGTGGGACTTTACCCCCCTGCCCTGGGTGCTCAATGAGCTTGCTACGCTTCTCGGTGCCATCATTAGTAAAGGTGCGATTCCTGTACAGGTTAGCATTATCCCCGTTTTAGAACTTTCTATGAGGAGCAAAGTTGTTGGTCTTCATTCTCATGCTGGCGATCCAGGTGACCTTTCAGAGATGCTGTGTCCAAGCCATTGAGCGCTTTGAAGAGAGAGGACCAAAATCTCAAACCCAACTCAACATGCTATGGCTACCGACCTGCTGTTGCAAGTCCCTTCACCCCTCTGATCCCTTCGCTCCCACCGTCTCTGCCCTGTCCATTTAACGGCAGAAACCACCTCTCCCTCTGTGTTCGTACAGGGCCTGGGCCCGCAGTCATACTTGGGGCTGCCAGGTGCTGTAGTAATGCAAACAACTGCGGCGTGAGAATTCAACTGGTTTGTGACCTCAAGACATTCAAGAAATATGACTAAAATACTGAATTTAATTTCTACCACCCACTCAGGCAACCAATTCAAATGAGTCCATTGACAGTTTGGCTTTAAGTACAGCGGCCCTTTAATCATGGGAAAACTGAGTTTAGCCCACTTCTGCATATCATGGAGGTTGCAGACACGGCCACGCTTACTTCTTCATTGCTCTGCAATGTAATTGGGCAGTACAGAAAATATACTAAATAAGCAGAGAAGTACCTGATACCTTGATTGTCTTCTGGACATGTTTACTATGGATTGCTGTTTGTCATGCCTATTCAGTGTCAGCCAGTGGTTCTCAACCTTTTCAGCTTCAAGGCCATTCCTTCATAACTTTTGTGACTTGAGCACCCCATTTCTACAACTAATTTCTTTATTAATGTGCTTACCACCTCACAGCAGTGGGGTGGGGGAAGGAGAAACTGCCTGGGACAAGTGTGTGCTGGCTTCCTTGCAGCAGGGTGGGGAGAAGCCAAGCAGGGAGAAAAGCCTAAGTGTGCTCATCTCCTCATGCTTTGTGGCACCCAGTTGAGAGTCAGTGACGTCAGCTCTTGTAGGTTTGACTTGTGATGCTTTGCTGTATGTACGCTCTGTTGTAACACCCACTGTGCACTAAGTGGGCAATAATAGTTTTGTGGCATATTAATTACCAGATATTCAAGTCTAAGGACCTTGGGGCCATCAGACTTTCTCAACGCTGGTTCTGACCACAGACAGGT